ACCCCTGAGTAAAGTGTTATTAAAGTACAGGCAAGATCGCATTTATTCTAGGAGGCAGTTCACTATAACCTCTCTACTCCCGACGAATCAGCCCACTTAGCATGATGCATCTGCGTATGAGGATCTAGGCGTATCTAAGTCAGTTGACGTCGAACGTGCGTCGCCAATTTGCAAGCAGGTCGAATTGCAGAAATAGACCCTTAAGTGGGGGGTGACGAAGTCATAAAACCTCTTATTAGGCTTGTTCAAGGCAGGGGCACTACTACTGCTTGTTAAGGCTGTTCGTTAGGCCTGCCTAACACCAAGTACTTGGGACATAACCGTATATAAGTAATTTCAGGATTGTAGAGGCAAAACTGATCGTTTGCTATGCCTCTTGTGTGGCACATAAACGTGCCATGCGCCTTCTGTATCCCAGGCGCCCTGACTGGTAGACGCACACAAATACAGCCAACGCGGCCGTGACTAAGGTGGCCGGTTATCCGATGAATCACTCCGCAGGCGCAGGCGTGGAACGATGAAGGCTAAGGGCTATTGGCAGCAAAAACTTGGATTGGGCAAGCATGCAGCGTGGCCAGCGAATAGGCGAAACGCTTAATTAATCAATACCCCACGCCGCGTGTTAACCACGCCCCGATGATGAAATCCACGTGTCAGCCCACGTGGAAAACATTGGAAACACAGGAAATGCTAGCGAACAATTGAGGAATATAACAAAAATCGAGGCAAATTGCGCACCCCGACACTCCAAAAATATACAGCTAACACGTAAATAGAAGGGGTCAGTTTGTTTCATAAAGCCGCTTTAAAAAACAAGCGGCATACGGCTGCAAGGGACAGCAGTCCTTCATAGTTTAAGATACTTGTTCTGGAAGCCAGTGAAACTTAGTTTTAAGACTGAGAAAACATACAGGAAGTCAAGAGATCTGCAGATCTGAAGCCACGAAGAGGTGTTTATTTCAGAAAGTGGTGGCTTTTAGTTGAAGTCTACATAACATCTCAGTTCACATTCAATTTAAATTGTGATGTGACAGGGACATGGTCTTTCAAACTTTCTTGTATTGTAAACGCGATAAATTTAAAATCGCGAAGGGTCACCGATAACGACCGGAATTCGAATCTTTACTTTGTGAAAGTGATGCAAGTCGCTAGTCGCAACTGCAAGTAAACAGCAAAGTACTCCTAACAAACGAATAAAAGTTCAAGCAAATAAAGACAAATCTTCTGTCAATACTTGTGGTTGGAGAGACAACTTCGCATAGCGCGAATGTAAAAAAATCCTGACAGATTTCCTGAATTGGCGGCGACACAGTAAAAGAAGTTTAAGATTTCCGATGAATTCCCGAGTTTACAAGTGCCTCCAAGAAGAAAGTAAACTTGCTTTCCGACAGTGAAAACTGCACGAAGACCGTGGGGACCGTAAACCAATAGAAAGCGCGCGAAAACGGGCCAGATAAAAATCAACTATAATTTCGCGCTAGTTACACTATGAATACCCTTTTTTCGAATTCGTTCAGTAAGTACCTCGACACGTCAACCTAATCTGGGCGTATTTTGTTGGGGAGGCGATTAAAACAGCTAGTATGGGATAATTAGAAGAACCTTATATTGACAAAGTATTCACTCGTATTCGCAATGAAATGACTACCAGTCTATCGGAAAGATGGCGATTCGAAACAACTGTAGAGTACGATGAAAACTTACTACTGCAACGGCTGGCGTTGTGAGAATTTCGTGTACGTCCACGGTCGTAAAGTAGGCAACATTACAAAATGTGTATGCCGCGGTAACAACAAGACAGGAGAAAACAATGGATATTGGCAGATCCCTCTTGGGGTTTTTCATCTCCTCTATCATGCAATTCAGGAAGTTCCATCCAGTGTACGCGAAAAGACCGGAATAGAAGCCCGTGGCAATGCTACCTAGGCTCCAGTCAGATCCTTCAAATGCATCCTTAAAAGGTTCAATTCGTC